TAAATATTTTCTCTTGGTGTGGCTTGTCCTTTTATTCTTTTTATTATTGTAACAGTGTCTTTTGAAGATCAAGTTTTAAATTTTGATAAAATCCAATTTGCTGATTTTACTATTATTTAATTGCTTTTATAGTTCATGCTTTTTCGTGTCCAAAGAAATCTTTGTCAGACCCAAAGTTACTACTCCTGTTTTCTTCTAAAAGTTTAGCTCTTAGCTCTTACTGAGACAGAAAATCCCAAGCAGGCTCCACGCTCAGTGTAGACCGTGATGTAGTGCTTGATCCCACAACCCTGGGATCACGATCCGAGATGAAACCAAGAGTCAGACGCTCAACCAATGGAGCCACCAAGGCACTCCCCAAGTTCATATTTTATAAACTATGTTATACAGTCTTTAAAATTTGTAACTACAGGGGCACCTGGGTGGCTCAGTTGGTTGAGCATCCAACTTCAGCTCAGATCACGATCTCACAGTTCGTGGGTTCGAGCCCCGCATCAGGCTCTGGGCTGACGGCTCAGAGCCTGGAGCCTGCTTCGGATTCTGTGTGTGCGTCTCTCTCTGACCCTCCCCCATTCATGCTCTGTCTCTGTCTCTCAAAAATAAACATCAAAGTTTTTTAAAAATTGTATCTACAAAGATTGGTCATATCATAAAATACTCACTTATAAAAATCAACTGAAGAAAGCCTAATACAAATTTTTCTATATAGGATAAACATGACATGATGACCAAGTTTTAACAAAAATGAACCAACAGATAAAACCTAAGACTAGAAAAAAGAATGGATGGAAATGTGCTGGGATGTTTAATTACTGTTTTTAACTGATGTGAACATTGCCTATTTCTTGTTTCTTTTTACTCTTCTGTATTGTTAGTGTCTCCTGTAATAAGCATCGAATATCATCATATTAAAAATTAATTCAGATATTTAAAAAAATCACTTAAGAGATGGCTTCCCGATCCCAGGAAGCCTTCACAGTGCTCTGTGGCACTTAAATGGCCCCTTCAGAAAACCTGAAAGGTGAACAACACTACCGAGAATTCACCCGCTCCCGAGCCCACTCACGGTGGCTCGACACAAGAAAAGATGAAGCAAAGAACTTCCAAGCAGAATTCTCCAAAGAGAATGTGAGATTATGTGAAGCCTCTAGATGAAACCAGATGCAAACCCAAATGTAAATACTACCCTAATAAAGGAGAATTCCAGCAAAGGGAGACCCCACGTGGCACCCCACCAGAATTCTCACCCGTCTGCCCAGATGTTCAGTGGTCACAAATGTGCGTATGTCAAACAGCTTCTCCACTCGCTCCATCTCGATGGGCAAGGAAAGCTAATGAAATTCTCTCACTGATGCGCTCACTGTCCTCTGTCTCAATCGATGTGACAAGACAGCCTAAGTGTGCAGCCTCGTAATCAGCCTGAGGCTGGCCCAGCCGCCTCTCCATGTGTGTGTAGTGCTGACGATCTGGCAGGTGGGATTTGCCTCTTGAGCTCCTGCAGAGGCCAGACTGGCTGATGGGATTGTCTACAGATGTTTCTCAGAGAGAAAGATTACTTCCCTGATTGATGAATAAATAGAGTCGTCAACACTGTCTCCTTGGTCAGAGGGGACCCCTGAAGTATAATGTGGCAGGACAGATGTTTCATCTGGGAAGGTGTCCAAGACCCCAAGAAGAGGTATGTGCTCGACTGATATGGCGGGCCGAGGTATTCAGTCTGTGGGAGGGACGTGGGGAGGTTGGACCCACAACGGCAGTGAACACCACTGCAGAGCCTTCCTGGCTCAGACCACCTCCCAAATCTGGATAAGGGGAGTGGGCGCGCTGCCTCAATCACAGCCTCCTCTTTGGGCTGTTTTTCCAGTGAACAAAAGGTCCCTATCATCAGGAATGCAGCCATCTTCTTAGCCCTTACCTGCTGTGAATCACAAAGAGGGTGGCAGAAATAACACTGTAATGCTCATGCTAAACCTCACGGCTTCCCCGAGAAGGAAGGACAAGCAGGCAGAGTCACCAGAGGAAGGAGCCAGGCACCTGGAGGGAGCTACCTTCTTCTTAGAAACATGCAACTGTGGGGTTTCCTGGCTGACCTTCCAAAACGAATGACGTAATAACCATCATCATAATTGTTTTAGCAAGTGGCAGACCAGCCATCATTATGTGACACTAGACTATATGCCTTACACAATTGCGTGTCACTGAACTCTCACACAAGGACACACACAAAAGAGCCCCTGCAAGGATTAGCAACAATTGCTACCCATAAGGTCTCTTTAAGAATCACTAGTGGGCGGCACCTGGGTGGCTCAGTCAGTCAAAGGGTTAAGAGTCCGAGTACTGATTTCTGCTCAGGGCATGATATCAAGGTTTGGTCCGTGAGTTTGAGCCCCGCATTGGGCTCCTGGGCACTGACAGTGCAGGGCCTGCTTGGTATTCTCTCTCTCTCCCCTTCTCTGCCCTTCCTGCATGCATGCGCACTCTCTATCTCACAAAATAAATAAATGAACATTAATAAAAAAACAATCATGAGAGGATGCACCCCAATAAACAGGAAAGAGGAATGGGTAAGTATTTTCATTAAACCCATTTTACAGACGATGAAGCACAAATTCTGAAAGGTAAAGTACATGCCAAGGTCACAGAGCAAGGCAGTAGCCAGCCTGGGAAAGGAACCCTGGTTGGTCTCATTCCCAAATCCATGCTCTTAGTCACTGTAATCCTGTGGCCACCAGAATATGAGGGAGATGAGGATTATGCTTTCCACACAAGCAAACAAGTGGTGGTGCTCCCAACAAAGAAAAAAGGCACGCCCAGACACACACAACCTACACCTGGATAGGCCTGAATACCAATATGGTTGCAGCCTCCATCTTGCACAGATTTGAGCTTAATGCTGACCATCTCCTGTCCAGCACTTTCAGAGGGGCTATATTCCAGGAGGAAACAGGCAACGGTCTATCCATGTTGCACATCCATATGCACACATATACAACCAGATGGTTAAAATCTAGAGCACTATCTCAAAAAGGGTATTTAGCTATTTGCAGCAAAAGAGGCCCCCTCTTACATCCTTCAGAGAAGGAAGAAATCATGTGCAACAGGAAACTCTAGGATAGTTTTCTCAGAATATGTCTGCCTGGAAAACTTCTAGTGACAACAACAATTTTTTTTTTTTTTTTTTTTTTAACATCCCTCTCCATAGTGAACTTAATTTTCCTTGAGGGTAGGAAAGTATGTAGCTTCAATGTGTAACACAAGCCTGGCACATTGTAGGTGCTCGGTATCTTTCTGTTAAATGACAGTGAATGAATGGAGAGACAAGGACAGGGTGAAGGGAGAGGCCGACACACGGTAGTAACAGAAAAGAGGAGTTTTGGAGCCGGACGGTCCAGGGTTTGAAACATGGCTGCCACTTCCTAGATGTATAAGCCAATTACTAATGCTGCTCTGTCTCACTCCCCTCGTTTTTAGAGTGGAGACAAAAATAAATCCCAACTTGGCAAGAGGGCAGGAAGAATTCAAGGATGTGGTGCTGAGCACAATGCATGGCGTGTGCTAGGGTTTGGGAGTGAGATCTATCTTTACTTCCAGGGAGAATACTCCAGTCTGGAGCAACGAGTAAAACACATTAAATCTTGCATCTCAGTCTTATGGAGACAAAGGGTTACTGTTTTTAGGTGACCACCAGGCTGGATCTGTAGCTGTAGGGGCCAGGTTTGCAGAGGCAGAGAGGTTGAGGGCTCTGCTCCAGGGAGTTTCTCTGCTGGACCATGATGGAGCTTCCCAGGCAGTTTAGGAGGAAACCACTTAGGGAATGGAGGGAAATTAAAACACTTTGCAAAAGGAGCAGCCAATGGGACCAGCATTGCTCAGACTTCAAGAACTGCAGGAAGGGAAAGGACCCAGCCGGCATGGTCCCATGGTCGAAACGGAGCTAATGAGCAGAAGCCACAGGAGATGCACTTCAGTGAGAATCGAGTCCCAGAAAGGCTGCATCCTTTGCTTGAGGTCACGGCCCAGCGCAGGTGGATGGCAGAGCACATTGCCAAGTCCAAAACAGGTGTGGTAACTCCAGTGCCCATGGACTGAACACCTACCTCTCCATTGCACAGCAGTACAGAAAGAAGGGAGAACAGGCCCTGCAAATGCCTTTCTCCCATCCCCACCAACCCAACCCCACTGTTAAAGAACACCGTGCGGTGTGTGTGTGTCTACACACACACATACGGTCATGCATGGGCACATGTTGGTTCTTGCTCCGAGTATTTTTGTAGGACTGAAGGCCCACCAAGAAGACCGAATTCAAAGGCTCTTTCTGTCCTCTATAAAAGCTTTCTCCCACTGGATGGAGAAAGCTGGCAGAGGTTGAGGGTAAAAAGGCAAAGCTTTAAAGATCTTAAAGAAGAGTGGGGAGACCTCCCTCCGTGCTGGGGAAGAAGGTGATCAAGTACTATACCCTGAGAAAACAGCAAGGTGTGTTCTCAGGAGAAATGGTGGTGTGGTGGTGCTGAGGAGGAAGAACCCCAAACCAGGGCACCCCGACTGGCGAAGATGCCCACGGCCCATATATCTGGGCATGAAAGCAGACAACCCTCAGACTCCGAGGAACCTCAAAGGATTATAACACTGACAATGTCAGTGACAAGCAAGAGACTAATGACTCAGAACCTGTTTTCTTAGCTCTAAGCTTCCGGGATCTCTGGGGTCATTCCTGAATGAGGAATGGCCCCCACAATGACAAAGAAGGGATTTTCCGTGCATCTGCTCAGATGAGGGCTCAGAGTTAAAGTTGATTTAAAACAAATGCAGGTATTAAAATTTTTTGCAAATCTGTGTTGGAGAATTGAGATGCATACCCCAGGATGACTGGAGGCACCAAATACCATACAAGATGGCGATAGAAACTCCTGCTCTCCTTCCCCCCCCCACTGTCCCCCACTCAGAGATTGGGTACCCCCAGATCTGTCAGTCGGAGCGCGCTTCCCGGCCCCCGGCCTTACCTGGGGAGAAGGTGCTTGCGGCTGACACACAGGGCAGTCTGGTAGTCCTGGGTCACACACACTTTGTGAGGGCTGCACTTCACCTTCAGGCAGGGGTCTTTCGATGGGTCCAGGGCTGAGGCAAAAAGATCAAGAAGGGGGGGGGTGAGGACTTCTAAGGAAATTTAGTTTCTCTTTCTACTCAAATAAACAAATGGGAAATAAACAGACCACGTGTTTGCACTCTGGGCGGTTTTCTTAGGCTGATGGGGATTGGAATGAATACCCAAACCGAGGGGAATTCTGTGTCTACTGCACATGTTCTGCTTCAGCATCAGGATAGTGATTCCTTTGTGCTTTGGGGAGTTTCAGCATCTCCATGTCGGGCAGGAATTACTTTTAAAATCCTTTAGAATCTTACATACTCCAAGGACCAAGAGCTCCTTTTCCCTCTTTGGTTATCTGTCTGCAATTGCTTCTTATGACTTCATCCATGCCTACCTTTACTTATGTCCTACCACGTAGAAAGTCCTTGAGGACAGAGTTTTTTTGGCTTCAGTTCAATCGACACGGACTGTGTGCATCAATAAGCCCATGTTAAATTTTGGGAAGAGCTTCAGGAGGCCCAAAACCATTTTGCGCCACGCAAAGTTCCAACATAATAAGGAAAGGAGAAAGCTTATACATAAATATTTATTGGGCGAGGCAGAATGAGATAAGGGCCATGACGAGCATATAAAATGATAACGGAGCTCCAGAGAAAAACAGAGATCAATTTCTGGGGCAAGGATTAATGAAGCATTAATATGTGAACTGGATCCAGAAGGATGGGCAGAGTTTGGGAAAGAGAAGTTACAAAAGGCAGTCTAGACTGCCACGGGTGGACCATCACAGGGCACTTGATCCGATCAGTAAGTGTGGCCTGTGGGTGGTAATGATGGCGGGGGGGTGGGGGGCGGTGTGCGGAGAGGGGATGTTGAGTCGACCAAGGCACTCCAGAAAGGGTCTCCCAAAACAGCGGTTCCAAAACTGCACCGTTTTCCAGAACAGGCTGAGCGGCGGGCCCCGGGCTAATCAGCGCCCCGCACACCGAGGTGCGCACGCTCATTACGGCAGCGAAGAGGCCGCAGGGAATTCTCCGCAAAGCAAAAGCAATTGTGCCGTCTCCCAGCTCCAGGCCTACGCCTATTAGGCAGTAAATCCTTCATAACTTTCTCCTCAGCCCGCGGAGGCGAGGCCTCCCTGTGTCCTCCCCATGCAACCATTTGGTTAAACAAATTGGCATCCTGAGCAGGGATAGCAAAACTGCCATGAGAAACGCCATCGTGCCCACAGCTGCCGGGTCCCCCGGCCACCACGAGACCCCTGCCCTTAGAGAAGTCGCGGTTCCTCTCAGCCCGCCCAGGCCCAGAACCTCCACACCATTTTCCTCAGACAGCAGCTGGGAGTTTCTCAAGGGACCTGAACACACAACATCCGGAGGCGTTTCTGCTGCTTGAACAGTTCAGGGCGGCTCCGTCCGCTGCAGCAGCACCAGCCGCTATAAACACAAGGCAGGGTGCATTTTTAGGCCAGTCAGGCCAGCAACGAGACCCAGGTCCTGGTCCCAGGGGAGTCATCTGACAGAGCCTACGCCCCAAGGGATCGCCCGGCTGCCTGAAGCTTAGCAGAGGGAAACGAGGTGCAGGAAGAATAAAAGAGGCTGATTCGAGCCCCAGCGACAGGGCATTCACTTTGAACTCTTCAGCTGAGGGCTGCATCTGGGAAGCAATGGCAGCAAGGCTTGTGTCCGCTTCCGGAGTCCTTCAAGCCAAGGCCTTCCAGAAACTCACAACAGGAGTTTCTGGTCCCAGGTGGAAGGCTCCCAGTCCTGGGGATGTCCACACGAGAAGCCAGGAGGCTGGTATGGCCTCAGACCACTGGCTCTTTCCTCGTGCAGTGTCTCCCACTCCCAACCCCAGGGTGGCTGTCCAGCCAACTGTGACTTGCCTCCCCAGGCTCATGCAAAATGCAGCCAACCTGAAGAACGATTACCAGATGACTGCTAATGACGGACCGTGGCAATCCTCCACTGCTCCTTCTCACACAGAGATCGGGGATCTCAAGGAACTTGGGGACCGGACCACAGGCAGCCCCAGCCAAGGTGCCAGCCTAGGTGCTTCCCTGATAGGTGCTAAGTGCTACAGAGCCCTTGGGATTTTCATGGGAGTGTATCGCAGAGATGGAAACTAACAGGCTGCCTTAGGAGGGTGGGTATCCAAATCTGGAGTACTCCATGACCAGCTTCGTGGCCAAATTTGAGGTTCTTTTTGTTTTTGCAGCCAACTGCACAAACACCAATGTCCGTCGACAGGCAGTACAATCTTGAAGGAAGTAAGTCAGCCGAGCATAGTTTGCAAGAGCAGACTCCAGACCTGGTGTTTTCGAGGGTGAATACGGCTTACTCATACCTCAGCTGCCTCCTCTATATGGTGAGGGTTATACCACCTGCTCTTGGTTTGGTTACCTTGAGGGTTAAAGGAGCTAATATTTGTGAGTCCTTAAAGCCAACTTAGTGTATGTTAAGTACCTCATAGGTGTTTGCTAATTTTTTGTGCATCTGGTCCCCAGAATGAGTCGTAAGTCTTCATAAAAACAAGAACAAGAGCTAACACCCACTGTTTCAGACATGCAATGAACTAAGCCCTATAACTGGATTATCATATTTAATTCTCAAAACCACCCAAGGAGGTGGCTGCTGTTAATGTGCCCGTTTTACAAATGAACGTCTTAAAGGGGAGTCACCGATGAGAGGTGCAGAGGGTATCTGACACTTGGCCCATCGACTCCAGAATGCAAACTCTTCGCATTCATAGGCCAGCAGCAAAACAACCACCTAGGATCTCCTCTGAAAGGTTGACTGTGGGGTCCACCTCACACCAAGTATGGAGCCCACAGACACCATGTTCTTGGAAGTTCTTGGGGCATAAAGAAAGCCAAGGGGTCAAAGGAAGGGGCAGTGAGAGAATCTGGTGCTTCCCAGGTTGGGCCATGCAGGACTGCCCCCATGGACCTCACACAGCCCCAGGGCTTCCCGAGAAGGGGAGGTGCCCAGCTCCGGGGAACCGTGCCCTCTGCGCTCTCCCTCTGAATGCGGCAACCCTCCAGCTAAGTCAACAGACCAGTGTCCTGGTCAGTCTTCTTTCTGTAGCCTTTCCATGCGTGACACTACCATTAGGCTAACTACTACGGATCGCCGCCCCCCCCCCCCCC